TATTATTATTCTTTTTTCAATGCTCTTTTTAAAATTATTTTTTGTTTTAATATTATTTCCCTTCATTTGTTCAAAATAAATTCAATTCATTCATCCATTTAAAAGAAAATTAACGTGTTAATGTAAAGAGATTATTCTGTGGAATTAACACATTAATTTTTAATGCATTAATGCATGAACAACAAAGTTATGACTCGTGCCATATTAAAAATTCAAATTGGGGGTTCACAAACACAAACTTATGTTATCTTGGGGGTCGTGGCTCAAAAAGTTTGAGAACCACTGCTCTAGGGGACACAGATATCTGCATAAATATCATTCAGTCAATCCAGACATCATTCTTATTCTATTTATTTCTCATCCTGGATGACTCTAGCTACATCTCCTCCTATAACTGTGTCAGCCAGGGACTTATTTCAGGTCACTGTGTTTTAGGTGCACACAAGATGCTATATTTTCATAATAAACACAAAAATCAGTGACTCGCAAAGGTCGAATGTCTGTGATACAACACCTGATCTAAGGGGTCACTTGCAAGTAGTGAGTAAGTCGTGAATGGCAGAGTGTCACAGGCCTCTCCGTAGCTGTTGTGCTGATTTTAGTTCACATGTGTTGCTCAGGCCTGCAGTGGTTCCCAAAGACGTTAGCAAACTGACATTTAAATCAACTACTCACTGAAAAGAAGCAGAAAGCTGGGGACTGCAAACAGATGGCAGTTTTTCTACACTGCACACGTCTTGCAGGCACTTAGACTGTTATATAATTTGGTATTTAGACATATCTACAATCTCATTTCCTTTACAAATGAGGTTTACTGGAAATGTGATTAGGCTGTGTGCTCTTGTTTGGAATTGATCTTTTATTATCTTTGATTACATGTTGGCCATACAGTGCTCTTTTTTCTTTTCTTTTCTTTTTTTTGCAGTAATATTGCATTAACCTGTTCCTTATGTTATCTGCTGATCTGGTGCCTCCCTCGGGGGTCCCAGATCGTCCCCGGACCCCACCTCACTACACATACACATACACACGAACACACACGAACACACGCGCGCACACACGAGCACACAAATGGGCGGTGCGAGGCAGCGTGCAGCAGGCAGCCCTGTGCAGCTTGTGCGCATGTTTTCATGTCTGGATGGTGTAACGGCGCAGATCTTCATCATTGTATGGGGTTGATGTCCAGCTGGGAGAAGCGAAGGATTTGCAAAAAAATAACTGGGCTTCAGATCGGAGATAACTCGACAAATCAGGTGACATCATGGGCAAAGTGCAGGGCGGGATGAAATGCGTGAAATATCTGCTTTTCGCCTTCAACTTCATCTTCTGGGTAAGTCCCGCTCCGGCAACGGTGTGCATGGAAACAACGTTGTTGCTATTTTAAAATCAGCCTCGTGTTTAAAGAGCCAGAGCATCGTTGTTGAATTTTTTTTGATGCTGATGTGAGTTTGTGGAGAACCTGTTAGTGCTGCCTTATGTTGGTGTTTGCATGTTCAGTTTTCTGCAGGCTGACACTGTGTGATGTGATCGCTCATTAACTGGTGATTCAATGGAGAGTTAATGTCATCCTGCAAATTGCGTGTATGCACCTGCCTCTCCCTGACTCTACACTGTTTCCCAAAGTTCTCAAACCACTCCCCAATTACATGACTGAGCCTCTTCTTTTCATTTCAAGTAATTAAAAAAAGATATAAGCAACCTCTATCTATAAAATGTTTTACTAATTAGTGAGTGAATCCATTCGACCTGTAAGCCACCACCCTTTTAACACTCCCTGTGATTTATCTTTACTGCAGCGCATACATCAGAGCTGCAGTGTGTTGCTACTTTTCCAACACAGATCCCCTATCATGGTTTGACATTGTGCTGGGATTTCTTACACACAGGGTTAATCTGTTTTGGGAACATCATGCAGGGTTTTGTTTTGGTCTGTTATGCGGCTCAGACAAGGTTACCTGTGGCTGTGGGTTCACTTTCAGTTTTCTGTGCACCCACTCACCATCTGACATTATTGTCAGGTCTTGTTATCATCTGTCTAGATGACAAGTGTACACATTTGGTGGACATGTTTCAGAGCAGTGGTTTAGAGGCTTTGCAAACAACTTGTCATGCGTTGTCCATTGCTTGTGCATATGCAGTATGCAACCTGTTTAATGGAACACAGAAATAAAGATTCATTCTTGTAATTTTCTTTTAACTGAGTCTTCTTAAGAGGTCTAAAGGAAATAAATGAGCTGAAGCTTATAGGGAATCCAGATGTTTTGGATTGTTGGGTGTTTCTGTTTCTGCCTTTGTGAAGCGCTATGAGATGACTTTTTGTTGTAAATATGCGCTATACAAATAAAATTGAATTGAATTGAATTGAATTGAACTACTAAACCACAAGCAAAAAGAAGAATTTAAAACAAAGCCTGAGTCGTAAAGTCGTAGGTTTGTGGAGAAGGAGTAGGTTTTTTTGTGAACATCAGTGCTAACTTCATTTGTTTATGCTGCTACTTCAGATTGCAGTTAACAAATCTATTCGGAATTATCATAATCAGAATTATAAACTGTGCAGGGTTGAAGTAGATGCAAAGATTGGAATACTAACAAAGATGCAGGTAAAGTTGAACCTAACCTTAACTTTTAATTGCTCACTGGATGCTTCAGTCTCTCTGAATTCTTGGATACTGATGTTTTACTGAAAGTGATACAGTATATATGAGTTTAGGCGGCAGCATTGACTCATCTGTGCTCTGTAAGACGATCACTTGTGTCACCCAAACTGACAGCGGCCTCTTTGTTTAGCAGTTTTGGGACTGAAAGCAGAGCTGTTGTGGTTGGAGCCAAAAGGGGCGTACAGTACGCTGTCATTTTGGGGTGCAGAGCCAACAAGCAGCCAATGCCGGTGCAAGTTACATCACCCAGGCACTGTGAGGCTGGCACAGCCTGTGGCTGAAATGCACCATGGGAGATGGACCACTGATGCTAATGCTGGTCTTCTGATGTGATTCTTTGATGGTCCATGTGGACGCATGAGCTGTTGTTGCAAACTGGTCCGGTCTCTTTTTTTTTTTTAATGATTTTTATTTGTACAGTAGCTCCTTGGCAGCAGATACTTCCCCTCTTTGATCTGGGTGAATATAAAGCATAGAGCCAAGAAAAGTGACTAAAAATAGAGTTTTTAAATGAGACAGAATGGTGGGATTTCAAATGTTTCCACTGTTAGAAGTTTAAAGGTTGTTAAGTCTATTTTTTACCAAAACTTGTAACGCTGCTACTATAAAATAAAGTGATATGGGTTAGAATTTAGTTTTTAACTTATGAATTGTTCTTGTTTGTTAACTGTTACAAGACTAATTATCCTTTAGCAAGCCCATACACATTTGATATCCCTCATTTTCCTGATTCTTTCCTGGGCTGTTTCAACTTCAAATAATGCTATTTAGTTGTATGTAAAAGGTCAGAAGGATTCACTTTCTCAGGTTTGACACCAGATTTTGATCGACTGGTTTATTTCTAGTCAAGTTTGCCCCCCGGGAGGAATGAGGCAACACAAAGCAGTTACTTGGATTTTTTTTTCTTTCTTTTTTTTTCTTTTGAAGAGCCTTTCAAGAGGTGAAGCATTAACATTTCTGGCAGGAGTTTGTCTGAAATAAATAGAAGGAAAAAACAGGCAGGGAGCATCAGTACCCACTTTACTGACAGGACAAAGACACAAGAGAGCCATCTGCAGAATCTTAATCAACCGATAATATAATAGAAAAAAGAACGCGAGGGGCCTCACTTTTCAACAGTGAAGTGATTCTGGACAAACACTGCCAGAGGAGCTGTCACCAAAGACTTAAGTTGTAAAAGTTTGATGAAAGTTTTAAAAATGTGCATCGTTATTTTAACATCATCATTATGCAGCAGAAGTATGAAACTGTGACATGAATATTGATTTGTATCATTCGTCACTCCTCAGCTGTCGGGGTTGCTGGTGCTGGCGGTGGGACTGTGGCTCAGATTCGACCCAGAAACAGTGGAGCTCCTGACAGGCGACGGCGCCCCTTACACCTTCTTCATAGGTATGTCACAGTTTGTACAGTCTCGGACGCCAGCCTCACCTTACATCTGCAGACCATGAAATATGACCCACAGTGGGATCGTGTTACAGAGTGGAATGCTTTTAATATTTAGTCATTTCTTGTAACAGAATTTCTACACCAACAATGATGTGATAAGGAAGTAAGCAACATGTGGATTTCATCGGCCAAAAATTTGATTTGAATGCGATGACATTTATTAGTTTCTGTTTAAACCGTTCAGCATTTTGATGCAACAAGTGTGGTGTTATGATTTAAAGGTGAAGTATGCGCTTCTAATCAGCTAAATTCAGTGAATATCTCCTCACACTCTGCACACTGTACACATACCTAACTCTGTAAAAGTTGCTTGGCCCGATCCACACAATCCTCTTCCAATGTGTCCTGAGAACGTTTAAACTTGTGCACAAAAAGGGAGAGTGAAGGAAGATGGGCTCAATGAGGGTAATGGAAAGGAGAGGGACAGTAAATTTGGCTAAATATGCAAAATGAATATTAACAATTTTTCTCCAGAGCTGTGGACTCCACCTTTTATGCATAATGCTATGAGAGGAGTTTTATGGTGCGATGTAATAAGCCTTTTACCGTCTCTGGTTAACTCCTCAGGGGACTCCCTGCTGCCATTTTAACTGAAGAACCTTTCAGGGGCCGCAGGTGTTACTGAACAAGGACGAATGCTTAAAAGGCACCTTTTATCTGCAATGCATTGCAATGTTTCATCACTTCTTTAGCACAAAGTGTGACGGAAGCTGTTTTAATCATTACTCATATCCTCAATGATTGGGCCTGTTAAAGAGCAAAGTGTTCTCCATTTAAATTCCTTACTTCCTGCACTTTCCCGCACTCTGGAGGTGCTACGTGCAGAGGGGGAAGTGAACGAGGAAACGTCAAACGATGATTGAAGTGCGCTATTAGCGTTAGTGCTCTGGTTTATGGGTAATGGAAAGATTTACATCGAATTTACAAACACTTATCTGATTTCCGTTGGACTGGAATAACGCGTGCAGATCGATCAGACGCACGCAAACGATGACAAATGGACTGATTGATAAAAAGCTCTGGATCATTGCTGAAATATCTTTTGACTTTTGATTGTAACTGAATGAAGAGTTTCTTCACAAAGCTTGTGGTAAAACACACAGTAGATTATTAAAACATACAGTCGACAAGACAAACAGCCTTCAGTGTTTAGCACTCCATACAATAGGCCCTCTCTCCGTCGCTGTGCGTAGGAGCCGACGCTCAGAATGAAGCCTATTCTTGTTACTCCCGTTTAGACCATGACCTAAAATGGTGACTTCACTTCATCAGCTCTCTGCTGTGCCTTCGTGGAACCGGCTGCCTCCCTCAGGACATGAGCAGCAGGTTGGGTGGGGCAGGTGACAGGAGACAAGTCTAAAGACTCCTGCAGGAACAGTCAAATATCCTGTAGTGCAAGAAAGAGCAATGTTTCATTCAGTGGCTTGTGCAAATGTGAAGGAGCAAAAAGCAATTAAAGGCAATGCTTTAGTTTTTTACTTTTATTAAACATGGTAAAAACCTAATTGAGATTAAAATGTCTTCTTTAGGAAGCCACTACAACCTAAAACATGAACTAAAATTGCACATATCTGCATAAGAGATGAATATTATCCAGATCAAATATTTAGTCCCAGTTATCTGTTTATGCAAAATACAGCAGCAGAGAACTTTTTTTTGTTCATGCAAATATGCTTAACATCTCCATTAAAACCACATATATTTTTGAATACATTTACTCAACTTCTCTATGTCTCATTTTCTCTTAGCTTTATTTTTAGTCATCACTTTTGCACTTTGTGTGGTTAAAGCAAATGAGATATCATGTGTTCATTTGTCGCTGTTCCAGTAAGTGGATTTTCATGGTCTGGACGGGGCTTTGGAGGTAATGCCACTATAATAAAAACCTGTAAGAACACTGGACAGCTTCAGGAAGGAGTCAGACCAAGAGACAGACATCTACAAAATAAAAGAACAAACTATAATAATGTAACAAATTTGAGCATGTTTTTAACTAATTTGCCACTGAGTTAAAAAAAAAATAAAAATGTGGTTCACATTCAGGTGGAACTTTCACGTCTGTTAGTTCTGCCAGTTCAGTGAACAGTATGAAACACTTCCTCTTGGCAGTTCGTAGGTGTAAATATCAGTAACATCTAGCTTTAAAATTCACAAGTGGCTCCACTGAATGAATAGGCTGACAATTGCAGGGAGCAGTTTTTTACTCAGTGACGCAAAAGTCTCCCCCTTTGCACAAAGTTTGCACTTAAAACAACTGATGCAAGTTACATATTTGAAGGAGCCTGCAGAGGATCAATCGCAGAGGAGCCTTTGCAACAAAACAAATATCACCATGAACTTCCTGAGTGGAATAATTGAGCGTCCCTGCCTATAGTCACCTCGAGCAAATAGACTAAACAGAGTGATACCATAATAAGGCAAAGTGGCAGCATTCCCTGTGGATGATTCACTTTCCACCTTTGTTGCTATGCTCTCAAACATGTAAACAGCCATTACGTGTGTGTGTGTGTGTGTGTGTGTGTGTGTGTGTGTGTGTGTGTGTGTGTGTGTAAGATAGGGGCAGAGTTACGCTAAGAAATGTTTCTACTCACTAAATGTGTTTGTAACTGATACCTGCTACCAGCTTTGACAAGCAGGAAACACACTTGACAGATATCAGCGGAATCATTAAAACAAAGTGGTAAAAGAGTGAATATTAAAGACAGCGATTAAGTGATGGAAAAAATAAGCAGCCAAGATCAGTCCTGTGTTGACACTTTGTATATACAGTGGAAGTTTTCTTGGCTTGTACATTTTCCATTGCTATTGCAGACAGTTTGCTTTGAAGCAGCGTATCCCTTGCCTTCAGCTCCCTTCAGCTCAACAGTCTTCCTCACCTCGTCTTTACCTCTCCTTTTGTTCGACAGTAGGAAAACAACAGCTTGCATTTGCCCCGTGTGGATTAATTAAGTAGCTGCAGTGGTTGCTGTCTATGTCACTGATTAGGCCCTTAGCACGGACCTGAGGGAGCAGCCGGGGTGTACAGTTACAGTGTAAAGCGCTCAGTAGCGAGGGCTGGGATCAGGGGAGCAGACCGGGGGAGGCGACGTCACCCGGGCTCGGGGTTGGTGGCAGACATGGTCGAACTCCGCAGCTAATCAAACCCCCACGAAATTTGATTTGCCGTTTTCCTGGACAGATGGCATCTGTTTTTACTGCTTTACCCTGCAGGAGCACAAACGAGCAAAGTCTGAGTAACTGGAAACCGCACTAATGCATCAAAAGAACTGGAAGACCTTGTGTCTCAGCAGACTCTCCAGCTCTATCAGTTTTGATTCAAATTTGATTATGATTCTGCACAGAGTCTCCAAAAGCCTCAGGAATCTAGCCTATATATGGGTAGGAGCTATATTTGTAGCTGCCCAGAGAGGGAAAGAATCCGGCATCGTGTTTTGTTCAACCCACTGATGACCACTGCAAGTAATTTCAGCACTTTCAACAAGACCCATGTTGCAACCAGTATTTTCGTTTAATTTGAATGACCACTGTCACCAATTCTGAAGTGATCAAAGAAGCAGTAAACCAAGCAACAAAGACCAGTTTGTGTCTGAGATTTTGTGTTTTAGATCTTTTTCATCTTGATTGAAAGCCCTAAAATTCACAGCAAAGGAGTAGGCTGATGATCAGACACAATTGTGGGAGGCGATTCAGAGGTTTCAGGCTACTAAAGAAGTTTCCACCTACATGTTCCTTCTGGTAGTCAAACACAACACAAACAGTCCTTTTATAAACTCCGCTTCAGCAAACACATGAAGGGACTTAGGTCACGCTGCCATCCTCAGTTGAAGTCGTAAACTGCAGTCATGTGACAGAGCTCATTAGGTTCTTCCTCTCTATTTCATTATGTCTTCTGGTCTGTAAACTCCTACGTCATGAACCTGACAGTGAATTGTTGGTTTTCTAATTTGTTTAAAGAGAGTAACACGATTTAAAAAGACTCATCTATCTCGTTGATTCTCTTCCCAGCTGTGTACATCCTCCTCGGTGCAGGAGGTTTGATGATGATCGTCGGGTTCTTCGGCTGCTTCGGGGCCGTGCGTGAGTCGCAGTGTCTCCTTGCATCGGTGGGTTGAAAGTGCTGCCTTTCGAGGCATTTTAATTGACTGTCCAGTTGTTGTTTTTCAGCTGTGACTGTTTGTGACTCTCTTTGAATTTTTAATAGTGATGCTTAATTTTTATAGATTTATGATTTGTTAATAATTTCCATGACTTTTCATGGAAGGAACAATGCAGTCTGGTACTAAAGTTAGGGAGCACGCATTCGATTGGTGCACTTTCAGTGAATTAATTGCATTTTGTTTTTTTTGCTCATGGCACCAACTTGTCCGTGCACAGCAGCTGGAAACAATTTGAAAATTGTCTGCAGACAATCACACAATTGAACAAACACAGAGAATACATTTCTAAGAATAAATGAATAATGGATTGATATTTTCTCAAGTTTAAATGCAGTATTTTTTTTGGGTTTGAGGACATTTATTATTTCCCCCATTAGTAAAGAAGACCAGAATTCCACATTTCTTTCCTGGAAACTTCAGAGGAATTATTAGGAACAGCCTGATTGTTTGGCTGACTGCTTTTTCCAAGGTCAAGAATAAACTTTAGGACTCAATTTTAGGAAAATATAATTCAGAAATTATGGATCCCTATAATAAATCAGTCTAACAATGAGGCCAGTTTTTATATTAAAGCCAGCCCCCGGTTGAAGACTCTAATAATAAGCTGTTTTTCGTGTCCTGCAGTTCTTCGCTTGCCTTCTGATAATCTTTGGAGCAGAGATCACCGCTGGTGTGTTTGGATTCATAAACAAGGAACAGGTAGAGTTCTTCATTTATAAAATAGTCAAATGTCCTCTCACGTTACAAAAACCTATAAGTAACATGTTTTTAATGTTATTCTGTATTATTAACAGATTGCCGAGGAAGTCCAAAAGTTTTACAGTAGCTCCATCGCTGACCTCAGCAATCCCAATGGAACCGCAATAGCATTAATTTACCACAAAACTGTGAGTAAAACTTGGCTTTTGTTGAGTTTCTGCCTTCATTTCACAGTCGGCATCATGGCAGTTCTAATATTTTTAAAATGTTTATATCTGCAGCTGAACTGCTGTGGAGGCTCCACACCGGACACAACTAGTGGATTGTGTGCAGATGCTCCAGAAGAAACCCCGGTAAACCCTCCTGCCTGCTGTGACACTTTACACCCACACGGTGGCAGTAAAGCACCAATAAAAACAATAGATTTACTGTAATGCAGTACTTGTACTGTATGTTTAATTAGCACTATGAATGTTTTTTTCAGGACTGTCTGACAGCAATAACAGATTTTGTCAATGAAAAGCTACACATCGTTGGATACATAGGAATTGGAATTGCAGGCGTGATGGTGAGAATTTTTTAATTGCCTATTCTAAAGTTGGTGACTATCCGAGTTTGTGTGAGCAACAAAAGGAAACATGAAGTGTCACGAGTGCTTTAACACGTCTCCAAAAATCTGTCTGTTTTCAGATCATAGGAATGATCTTCAGTATGGTGCTGTGTTGTGCCATCAGGAACAGCAGGGAAGTCATATAGCTGGTGTGCTGATCTCCCCCCTCCTCCAACCCCACCAACCAAGACCACTACATGCTCACTCAACCCTTCATAATCAACCTATCCGCATGAGAAGGGCACCACCAAAGTTGCATTTCAATGTCATCTTTTGTAGTCTGGGTTCATGTGGTGGGGAGGCTCACCGAACAATGAATCCCACTCTGTCCCAGTTATCCGTTCAACACGATACGCTGGATCGTTCACGCCACACCTTCTCCTCCACTCCACCAGCACTGAAACACTAATTTATTTCTCTGTTCGTTTCCATAACACATGCTCTGCTTTTGGCACAACCCTGTGACATTCCTCGCTTTTAACATCTCAATGTTATAGACCGCTGGTGCTCTGCAGGAGGCGACCGTGCTGTGCTGTAGCTGCGGCACGGTATATGAAGCCTTCTTTGACACAGGAATGTTGTGACTGAGGAGTATTGCTGTAAATATGGACACCTATTTTATACATTTGCTGTTAACATTATTTATTCTGTGCCCTTTCTAGCCCTTTTAGGCCTAATGCCAATCATACCTTGTGTGCTTAAGTGTTTTGAGGACTAGCCTACCTTTGCAAAATACATTTCCGTTACGTGCCTATTTAGTCACACAGTCAAGCCTCCAACTACTGTACTATTTGCCTCTTTCTTGTGATTTGTACATTATGACTGTGCTCCCTGCCACCACACTCAAGTATTTCTACTGTAAAGCACAATAGAGTACGTGTAGACATGATATCAACCCAAAGGGTTAGGAAGGTCTGATGATAAACTGTCCCTCTGTAAATCTCCAAATTCAACTGAGTTTATAAGTTAGTGACATAACACTTTGTGCTGAGCTCTTCAGGAGCATGTTTGAACTGTAACAGTGAGCTAGTTTGCATTTTTTGTGTGTGGTTTATTGTGGATGTAAATTTTGTTGGTGTGCCAATAAGATGTGAATTATAGAATAATATAGTTTATGTCATACTGTTAACCATAATAAAAACATTGGGTGCTTTTATCAACATTTTTATGTGTCCCGCCTCTGAGCTGCGTGCAAAAAAAAAAAAGTGCACTTCCCGTAAAGTAGCGGAGGAAGAAGCAGAATAGTGCAGCGATGCAAATTTTGTGGTTGGCAAGGTTCCTGAACATGTCAGCACATGGTGAAGGTTCACTGACAAGTAAGTGCAGTCACACACAGTTCAAGAGTTGCATAATGTTGGCAAAAGGAAAGAAAAAACATACATTAAAAATTACATTCGCAGAAAGACTCTAGTGACTTTGGATTCATGAAATAATACGAGTTGAACAGAAGTGTTTGTGCACAAACTACTACTCACCTACTTACCGACTGCTCACACTGAGAAGCAGGGGAATGTCCCAGCATGTGGCAGAAAGCTTTCAGCCTTGAGTCTTCTCATTTTCAAGGTCAATATGGAACCTTTGAGCTGAAATATTACACCAACTGCACCATCAATGTACAATCTCCCACCTCTGTTGTCCTTAGGCAGGCACAGCACTGACTGATGGTAGGAGTCTTCCAAATTATGTATATAAATGCCTATCAGTAGGGATTCACTGCTCATAGCTTATCAGCAGCTAGGTTTGCACAAAATGTCTGCTCATGTTCATACATGCAGAACAGATTTTGTAAACCTGTAGTAACAAAAAAAAAGAGCTTTATATAACCTGATATTGGTTTATCTGCATAGCCCTCATTAGAACATCTAGTCAAATAAAGTCCATGAACAGAGTGAGTGCATTTCAAATTTTAATGTATATATTCAGTATGTAAAAAAGAAAAGCCATCACAAACACAGAGTATAGTAACAGTCATTTTTCACATGTTCACAGTACTACAATAATGCTTTTTTACTCCTCAGAATCAGAGAGAAGTGCCAATTTTTTTTCCCCTTATGAGGCATGAACCAGCCTCTTGAGTACAACTGTTGGTATGCATATGTAAATATTTCAGGTGAAGCTATGTGGACAAACACATAACAAAAAATACATAATGTGCATGAATGCATCTCAAGTTGTGCAGATATTAAAATACAGAGAGAGCTGTTCACAGAACAACAACAACTGTAAGGATAATATCAAGTATTTACGTGGACACAGTTTATTGTTTTAACTGTGTGGTCCCATGTCAGTAGGAAGGTTCATCAGTCAAGCACTTATAAATGCTGAAAATGTATGTAAAACAAAAATCAAACAAACAAACAAAAAAAGCAGATCCTTTTTGCAATACTTTTCATATACTGTATCACCTATTTTAAATCTTAGTTCCAAGTTGAAGGCTCTGTAACATCAGACAGTAACTGAATTGGAAGAAAAACATAACGAACACAGAGTACTGCATTGAACAATTTAAAGTACACTCACATACACGTACAAAAGAATATGAAAGGTTATTATGGAAGAAAACACACAAAGAGTAGGTCTGTCTGATGGCATTTGCTCCCCTCCCTCACAGAGGGAAACTAAACATGACTGCTGGGGACAAAGAAAGATCGACATTACAACTCTTGAGTCCCCAACCCAGTAAGGCTAACTGCTTCATGTGCAAACATTGGCCACAGCCTACTGAATAAGTCACAAAAGTGTTTAAGTGCAACACAGCTGTCAAACCATAGGGATGATGAAATTAGAGGGCTTTACATCTTGACGTCTTTCTGACTCTGTCAAAAAAAGACTTTTTTTTTTTTTTCTTCTTTTCTGTAAACCAATAGTACGTAGCTGCCAGATGTTCCACCAGGTCCTGTGCATAGCCAGTCAGCAGGAGGACATGGTCTCATGCTGCCAGGAAGCTCAGAGGTGAGTTGTCCAAGATGTATTCGCCAACACCAACAAAGTACATAACCTGTGCAATTCCAAATAGAGGTGCGATGACCAGTGCCCGGCAGCCTGCACCTTTCAGGAAGGCAGACGGTCCCTCCTTTCGCATTATTTTACTATTGAGAGACAGAAATAAGTTTATTTATACACATGTGTGTGAAAGCAACAAAAGACAAAAAGTTATACAGCAATGAATGACTCGCTGTCGTACCTCACACAATCCACAACGCCATTGTAAGTCTCCTCACTGGCCCCTTTGTTTAGCGACTGCAGTCTAGTCTTCACCACTGTACAGAGATAAAAACATTGTTAACATTCCAGCACCGTTATCAATACCCGCCAGGACAGCTCATGAATGACATGATTCACAAAACTCACCATCACAGGGGTTAACAGCTACCGCAGCAGTGGATCCTGCAACACAGCCGGAGAGGAACGCCCAATAGAAGGGCGACGACCCCTCGGGGCTGGGTTTGCCCAGTTGGTTCAGATTAGCAAACAATGGGAAGTAAACGACAGAAAAGGGAACATCCCTGAAAACAAAAAAATAAAAATAAACAAAAGGTTGTTTTACACTGAAAAGCTTACACAAAATAACTGGCCTTACAATTTCACTTCTGCTTCGTAAACAGCATGGAGTAAGAGTATTACCTCATTAGTGTTGCCCCCAGACCCTTGTAGAGCCCCTGGATGCCCTGTGTAAGGAAAAGTTCTTTTGCAATCTGTGTGGCTGACACAGCTCGTGGAGGGGCGACCACTGCGCCAGAGTTGAAGGAGCGGCTGGGCACAGCGTTGGTGGCCACAAGTTTTGTGGAAGCCATCATGACTGGTTTTTGCTGCTGGGCCGCTGCAGGGAAAAGATGATTTCTTATTATTATGGTTATATGAGATGCTAATATACATATACGTGAAAATGAGGTTTGGATGCAAGGTATAGAGTGGAATACTTTTCACGCTTCTTACCGAGTCTGCCCGCATCCTGTAGTTGTATTTTGAGCATTTCCATAGGGGTGGTGACAACGACTTGGCACATGCCGGCACCACAACCTGCCAGCATTTCTTTGAACACTGTCAGCCCCTTTCTGTTAACAGATAAAAGAGGTATGATGTAAACTAATCAAACACTGCACATTTCCAACAAAATGGTAATTTCATACAGTGCTCATGCTTACCCATCCTTGGCAAGGTGATGGCGGAAGAAGTCATTAGCAGCCAGCTTGATTGCTTTCTCGGGAGTGACCAAGGTCAAATTTACAGCAGCACCTGAGGAAAAACAAACATGCAGTTAGCACTGAAGTCACAATCTAATTTTCATTCAGCATATGTACAAAAACATTCCTCGCCACTACCATTACAACATCAGAATGTAATTAGGCCATTGCAAGGCTAATCTAGACACAGACAAGACAAATGCTCAACTTAAAGTAGCTTCAAAACAATAATGGAGGGGGATTATGTCAAGAAAAATAACATTAAAAAATAAAGTTTTCCAAGGAAAATGAAAAACGAGCAAAACACAAGACAGAGGAAGAAATGACAGTATGGTGAATATCCAGAAGAAGATGCAAACATGAAATCTAAAAAGTACAGCAAGTCAGAGTGTGATAACAGGAGCCACTTTGTGTGGAGAAAACTTCAAGTAAGGAAATCTTTGTGTCTACTTAAAGGCTACAAGTCAGTAAGTAGGTTATGAAGAGATGTTAGTCAAAGGACAAACTGACACCATGACTATGTACTGTGTGTAGACTTTAAGCTTTGAACTTAAAAACCAGTCTGTGGGACTAGTCACCATCTAAAACAAACTTTAATGCACCACAGAGTCATTTTCAAGATCAACTAAAGCCTGTAAGGACACGATTCATAGTTTGGAAAATGACAAAACCACGACGAGTTGACAGGACAGTGAAGAGACAGTCAAGTAGTTATTAACAAGAAGTCAAATTACAGAACAAATAGATGGCAAAACAAAAACTTGTGCCTATAGTTTTAAATAGAGCAATATTGTAAGAACCATTTAATGATTTGCCTCCAGCGTGGCTGCGCCTTATCGGCTAGCCTTCAATATCCCAGGGGGACCCAAGTCTGTAATATGAAAAACACAGATGCAAACAAACAGCATTCCTCACAAAAGCAGAGACCCAGATGAAAGGTCTCATTTTTCTTTGTAGATTCTACTTTGTCTTCTCTACATCAATCGATGCATTGATAATGAAACAGAACATGTGTTCTCTATCGACTGCATGTATTCCATTACATATAACCATACAGTTAGTGCACTTTGCAAAAACACTGTGTGAGACAAGTTTTGATAACTTCATAAACTTAAAAATGATTGACAAACCACATTTTTAAGTAAATCAAGCACCTCATGCATTAAAAATACACTTTATCTGAACCATAAGTCAATATTACATGTAGCCGGTAAAAACCATTGTCAATGTTCAACCTCACCACAAAAAGAGCTTACCCTCTCCTATATTAAATGATTTTGTAGAACATCTACTTGTGCTAGTCTACTGCTTCTTAATATTCAAATGAGTATGAATCTTACCTCTGTACATTCCAAAGTATCCCTCTGATCGAACTGTCTTGACAAGGCAGTCCATCCTACAGTAAAAGAAAGCAAGAAAAACATATGTTATGAGAAAAAGGCACTTAACTGAAAGGCAACATTTTAATGTATTTTAAAAAGAAGCTTGTAACTATTTTTATTTTATTTTTATTGAACTGTGTTCAATAAAAGTTGGGTTAAGGGATAGTGGCTGCACTGAAAGTGTAGATGCTGGGAGGGTAAGTGGAGCAGTAATTTTCCACCCTTTCAAGGCATGCTAAAGGAGCGGGTCCACCTCATTGGACAGGAATGACAAAAATGAAGTCATCACAGCCCATGAGCCAGGAATGTCCTCAATTGTACACAATCATCACGATGCCCTGCATGTGTCATTGTAAGATTAGCTAGAAAAGTACAGGATTACACATGGGTGTAGGAGGTACAGGGCCAGGAGATTGGGCAAATGAGTGTGGTTGTGTATGTTGTGTGTGACAACAGTCGCTATTATTACTCACATGCTCTTGTAGACCTGCTGACCTGGTCTCTGATTCTGTAACCTGGTCTTTGCCAAGTCAATGGGAAAGACACAAGTAACTCCAACAATGCCAGCAATGCCACCGTTAATGAGCTTGGCTGGGAGGCTGAAAGGACATAACAAAAAGGAATGCAAACATTTTAATACAGGAACTTTGATCACGTGTCAAACTGTGGACAACAAAATGGACTGCCAACATAGTTTGATGAATCTTCTATCCATTTCGAAGATTTGTATCATTTTCATTTTACATTGCAAACTCCTTGGGTTTTAGACCTCAGAGAACTGACAGTCATTTCACACCATTTACATACATTTCATAGGTATGAAAAATCAAAACTAAAGTGTACTTAGGAAAAATCAATATAACTGTTGCAACACTACCTATGAAATGGTAAGATGCCTATTATTGGGGTGCCCCTACAGCTCACCTAGTTGAGCGGGTGACCCATAAACAGGGGCTATAGTTCCCTGATGCAACGGTTGTGGGTTCAACTCCTGCTCATGACCTTTTGCTGCAGGTCTCTCCCCATTCTTCTCCCCCTTTTCCTGTCTATCTCTGCTGCTCTAAAATAAAGGCAAAAACCCCAAGAAATATATTTAAAAAATTAAAATGATGCCTATTATTTATTGAGTAAGGAGACGGTAATGTTCTTAAGTAATCATTTGGTCTACCAATTATGTTATGTCAGTTAGAATTTCTTAAAGGCCCAAAAATGTCAAATTCAGTCGAACCAACGGTCAAAAACCCAAAGATCATCTTTGTACGATGATATAAATGACTGAAAACTAGCAAATCCGCCTGAATGAGAAGTTGAAACTTGGGAACACTTGATCATTTAAGCCATGTTTCATGCAAAAATGTCAAACAATGGTCAAAAACTGTAGCTGAAAAATTCTGTCAATATGCCCCCATGTATGAGTCTTACCTGATCTGCTGCTGAGACATGATGACTTTGGAACAGGTGAAGACAGAAGATTGAAAAGTGATGTTGATTGAAGTGAATGAATAATGTCCTGGAAAGAGAAAATCCAAAGAGTTAGTAAGAACTTAGGGGCAACTTATGAGCAGTTTCTGAGTGGTCACAGACTGTGATCAGTGGTTATCCCCCTCACAGCACAGGCTTTGACTTATCTCTGTGCCTCAGTCACGGGACCGTGATGTCACACTTGTACCTTCAGTAGTACAAGCCGTGGGCGGGTCTTAACTCGCATACCGGAACACCATACAAGGACATTACCGCCTTTCATAAAGTCTGGATCAAGATCTAACGGCTACCGGCGAATTTCCAAGGAAGTTAACATGAGGGCAGGTGCGTGAAAAATAGGCTAACTTCGTTTTAAAACACCTTTTCAATACATCTATGCATATCAAGACGACAAAGCTTTCGTGCAGATACGACCTTTTATAGCTTTATCGCATTTGAAATAAACACGCACCTGCATATATATAAAGCTTCTGCCTTTCCTGTACAAATAATAAATAATTTGAGTTAAAAACCAGCAACTCTCTATATCCAGTGCTGTCCACAGTCTTATGCATACCATTTTTGGCGTTAGCTAGCTAGCTAGCTAACCTAGCCCATTCAGAACAAAACCGTTTTCAAAAGTGAACAAGCCGGCGAGTAAGAGTGACATAATTAATTAAAAACGCTTGCAAATGCACTGAAATATAAATAAAACGCTTATACTTACCAAGAGATTGTCTTGTAGTATTTAAAATGAGATTGTTTCGAGCGGTTACTCTTTACTTCCGTCCCTTTCTTCGCTCGGGTCTCTAATATATCTCTGAGTAGACAGACTGGAAATTTCCATTGAGTTTTAAACTGAGGGGACGGACCCGCCCAAGTCCACACCACTACTGCTGAACTACAACCAACCAGAGCCCGGAAAACCTTGTCCCGCCTTTTCTGCTTTAATTGGATGATACTTCCATCAATCAAGCCGTTCCACCAATCATGCAGTCACATAGACGTTTCAGGATGTTCAATGAAAGAAACAAATGTTCGACAAGGGCTTGCTTAAAATTATTTAAAACAAAAGCTTATAGTTAGACATTTAAAGTAGATCATTATTCAGAGAGATTAACTCAGTGTTGTGAAAGGGCCCAGGTCTCGTTTCTCAATAGAATCTTAAGGTTATGATAATCCTAATCCTATTAAGATCATCGTGCCATTTTGACCCTTCAGGTAAACTTGCTGGCTCCACCTGAGGGGATGACATCATTCTGTTCTGTTCTAGCTGATTCTATTCAGAGGCATATATTGTTTCAAGTGGTGGAAAGTGACACATCAAACTACATTATTTACATGAATATGCTCCTATTGTACTAAAGTGCACCTTTGAGACCCTTGTACTTTACATGTACTACATTAGATTAGATTCAGCTGTATTGTCAAGTAGTAAAAGGGCCTTGTATGCAGGAAGGGGATATACAGTAGGGTACTTGCATTCCACTACATTGAAATACTGCACTTTTTGCTCCAGTACATTCAGTCACAGTTGTTAGTTACTTGGCAGATTAACATTTTTTATACAAAAATATAACACCAGTTTATACAATACAATAACTTGTAATAGATGAAGTTCCCAACCTACTTCCACAGGTTTCAACTTGCTCACTCCTGGCCTGTTACAACATCAAGATACCTTTCATGTCAATACAGCGCTAATACATATCTATATATATATTTAAAAAGGTAACTCGTAAACCTTAAAAACAGTAGTACAACTCTTTTAAAGACCCTTTTTCATTATGGGTAATATTTAACTATATTGCTGATAGTACTTCTAAATATTTACTAAGGTTAGGTTTTGAAACTAGGACTTTAATTTGTAAGTGTTTTTTTAATTGTGTGATCAGTTCTTTAGTACCAATACATTTCTTCCACTCCTGTTTAGCCCTTTTTCATTGCTGCTCTTTCAGCAGAATAAATGCAGTTGAGAAAGTTTCACCCTTCTCTTATTACCCATTGTTAAAGTGCTCACTGAATTGCAGCAATGCTGTTCTGGGCTTTGGTGTGTTAATCAGTCGACACATGATTGCGTGCAGCTGTGTGAATTTAAAACAGGATTTCACCGAAGACGAGATTACATGCTCAGATAATCCGCATTGCATGAACAAAGATATTTATTTCGTAAGATGAACATGGCCTGTCTTTTGTGTCATATGAATCAGGAACAAAAGGTAGCCGACTGAATTACTTACAGCAGTGATCTCTGGATGTACTCAGATCATCTGGTACATTCTACTGGATGAGCTTCAACTGCAGGTGCTCACAGTGCCAAGTATTGACTGCAAGATATGGAAAGTTACAAGCTGAATGCTGAAGAGAGGAGCGTTTATTTAAGGTGTTGGTTTTAAAGGTATAGAAACATTCCAAAGCATTAGGGACCTGTCTTGTCACTGCTGGCACTTGGCCTAAAGCTAAAAAGTTATGTAACAGTGGGTGTTGAACACCCTGCTTGCAAGTTATGTATGCAGTTTTGCCACAAGCAGCATCTTACATTTAAAATTCTGTCCTTTTTGTGCACTGTTCTGTGCACTACTATTACGACCATCAATACTGGCCTTTATCACATGAACATGTTTACAATCTAAGTAGAAGCAGCATATTATAAAACTATATTCTGTTTACTATCAAAACTTTTCTACATGTTTGCATTTGCTTTGTCTTTTTTATTATTATCATTAAAGCAATGTTATTAAAGCAATGCCAGTGGTTGCTGTATTACAATGCATGTTACAAACACTTCATCTGTATGTTGTGCATAAAATCCATTGTAGCAAACTGAAACAAACAACGTAAAAGACACCAGTCATCAGTATGTTAGCATGCTATTTTTTGCTAATTAGCAGTCAAACAAAATACAGTTGCAGATGATGGGGATGTCATTAGTTTTGTTGGTGTATGGCTGATGATGGCACTGTAAAATAGGTGAAGGGATCACCAGTATTTTTACAATTTGTCTGAGGGGAACCTGAATGTGAAGACCAAATTTCATGGCAATCTATTCAATAGCTGGTTCAACATTGTGCTCAAAACAACAAATGTGAACCTGTTGGTGCGAAGGCAAAGGTCAGGGGATCACCAAGATCTTTATGGTTACATCATTTGGGAGGTGGGAATGTCTCTATGAAACTTTGTGGGACTCCATCAGATGAAAGTATTTTACTGAATAAGCTGAAACTTTGACAGGCTTGATGCAGGAAAAGTCATCAAAGCCGCTAAGACACGCAATTAAAAATCAAACATATCAGTGGATTAGTGGTGCGAAAGGTGAAGATATAACATTTCAGTCTAGACAGAAGTGGTAGACAGACCAGCTAACCAACCAGCAAGCCAACTCTGGCATCCCTGGAGCCATGCAGCTACCCAAAGAATTCTCACATTTTTTCTAGTTGACTAAATACAACACAAACAAAACTGTATGGTTTGTCTGAATGGATGAGAGATCGGTATGTGCGCCACATAGCTGGGTGCTTTGTAGTGCTGATGGAGGCAAATTCCATTTCATCCTCTGCTTTATCCATTTGGGTATTAGGGTTTTCAAAACACCACTACACAATTTAAGCTGGGCAATTCAAGCCATTGTGGCCAATCAGGCTGATGGTTTTGAAGTCATATCAGGTCAGTCGTTAATATAAAGCACACAGCATAATTAACCCCTGTGCCATGTTTCTTTGTGGATAAAGCTTTACTAGATCACATTTGTATTTAGACAATCTTCTTTTTAAAAAATTGAATATTGCCTACAAAGGTATGAAAAACTAAAAACAAACATGCAAACTTTTAACACCCATAGATGAAATGAATAGAAACATGTATACAGTGTGGTATTTCATATTCTGTGACAAAGACATAGGTAATCTTCAAATCCCAGCATGGATGCAATACTCCACCATTTTGTCAGCTGACTCTCCGCAAGGTTGAACAGAGTATCAGGTTGTCAGAAGTTGCACAAGCTGAAGGTTGTAGTGATGTTGGAAGAAATCTACCTACATCATTTTAGAAACCAGTTTGCTTTCTATGTTTTCCTTTCATGCAGTTAACTGGCTCATATCCAGCCTGTCCCACTCCTGCCCTATAGTAAGCCCAAAACACGTCTTGCCCCACGGTTAAGAGATTTTTTCAAATGTCAAGAATCATGTCAGCCATCATCAGCTTCAAAGTTGAAATGAGCAGGTTAACACTCCCATAGCTTAATAATGATCTTTAAAGCTGATGTTTTGTTGGCCTTTAGGTTACCGCCTTTCTTTTCTATTCTCTGATCAAACTGCTTTCTCAATGTCAGCAAGAGTTGCAGAACTAACGATTAAGAAAAACTTGTTTTATCAGCAACACAATGACATTAGAAACAGAGATCAGCACTAAAACACAACAATGGTGTGATATATGTGTAGAGAATATACAGAATATAATATTATAAAAATATGTAGGAATATTTTGTAATATTTTAACAAGATGATGAAAGACCTGTGTGACAGAGACCCCACATGATTGACTGATCATCATACATTCTCCCAGTCTGAACTGCTGGGCTATTTATAAGCTCCAGCTGTCCAAAATTCCCTTTGTGAAGGGGAAACTACACACACAAACACTGTTTGGGATGAGGCAGAGTCACAGTTAACAAATTCACACATTAGGTTTGGTGAGTCACACGTTGTGCCAAATCATTCTGCTTTTACATTGTCGCTGATAATCCATTTAATGAGAAGTGTTAGGTCAATAATCACGTGCTTTCCAGAATGACTGTCGAGGCAAATATAGCACCCTGGGTCACACTATGGAGTGTCAAGGCCTTGTTTGTTATGTAGTAAACACAACGCTAAGGTTGAACACAGGATGTGATTAAGTCAAGCACAGCTTAGTCAGAGGGCTATTTAGAGGCTTCAGCTTTAATTGAGTTGTAGTCAGAGTATTCCTTCAGAGTAAACATAATAAATTTGGGAGTCACACTCACGTGAGTGTACAAAAGGATAAACAATAATGCCGACAGAAATATGCGCAGGGATCAACCCCCATTGTAAACTGAGAAGCAGAGCTGGAGCGCAGAATATGTTGGGCAACAAAGACGCAATAAAACAAGCGGTTACAACAGGTACATACAGTCAGTACATTCATGTGGTTTTCAAAATTAAAAAAGAACATTACGAGAGCAAGAACATTATGATCAAAAGGGGATCACAAAGTTGCTCTGGCCAGGATACAGGCTGCTGTGCCTCACTGGTTTGGTACACATAGTTCCATGTGTGCTGGCTCTGTGCGTGCACTCATTGCTGTCAGTCTCGCAGGCACCACAGCGGCAGCTGAGAGCCACGGGGTAGGTGAAGATGGGGTTGGAGTCGATGGGACAGCCAGGCAGTAGGGCTGTGCGGTATTCCACTTTGTCATATGTGCAACCTCTCTGGATCATGAACCGTGGGCCTAGAATATCCCTCATGTTGCTGTCCTGCTCGTCACACACAAACACAGGGTTAATGGTAGATGGATGATGTTGTGATACATTGACATTTCGGAGGCTTACTGTTTAGAATTTCAGCTGAAATTGGGGCAAAAAATGTGCTACAGTTGTTTAGTTTTACATGGCTTCCTTACTGTCAAAAAAACAGTTTGTTGTAAATATGCTAAAGTATGCATAAGTTGCATATTTGTAATGGATGACGAGTGGGGACTGACAATATTAATCTGCTTTTATATGTTTTGTAATAATCTCTACTCCCTTAGAGTCCTTGTCCTTTCTGTTTATATTTTCTTTCATGTAATTTACCATTTTGGTTGTAATAGAACAGAAATTCTAAAAGTATTTTTTGTAATAAAGACTACAGGCTATTCATTTGAGAATTTTCATCAGACATGGCTTAAACTTTGACATGATTTCATTTTCTGTGAAACAACAAAAAAAAAAATTTTTTTTGTTTGTTTTTTTCTGTTATGACAAGTGACATACATACCCTGGAGTAGCAAAATCCCATGCAGATAGTAGTGTTGACTGCCACACAGAAGTCACACTGTGGCTTCTCCACATACAGGGTGAAGTCGGTGGGTAAACACATGGGGACAGCTGGGCTAAACAGCAGAAACAGGAGCCAGCAGGTGAACACTGCAGTCTCCATGTTTCGCAACGTCTTTTCCAGTCTTTTTTGGTCCTGCATGGGAAATAAATATAAAGAGAGAATTCAAGAACAACATAAAAGAGTGGATCAAGAGTTTGGTTTGTTAAATATCTACTTTTGTGTGAGTCACCTGTTGGAGAGATGTGGACACTTGCAGACCCGATGACTCTGTGAGTCCAAACCTCCCTGCTGAACAGTATTTATGCAGACATTTTACTGTATAATCCACCTTTATCCAAGCTAGCTCTTATCTTCCATCTATGACAAAAAAAGAACCACTGAGCCTTAAGTCCATTATGTGGATGACATGAATAATGGTTTCCTTCATGAATAAAGTTCATGCAATAGCTATCTGATTCTGTCTAAAGTAGTCTAGTGTCCACTAGATGCCATAAAACATTCAAAAGCTTCATTTGTGTTGGAAAGAATACATATTATATAAAGAGCCATTCAAATTTTAACCAGAGTTTTACCTCCTTTTCCAAAACAAACCATACTGTCCCTCATTTGAGTAATAAATTAACTGCGGCTTCTGAAAAGGCAAGATTTCAGCACGTTTCAGCACAAGTACAGAGAATACGTTGTATATTGTTGGTTAACAATCCACTCTAAAACATGGGCAGCAATGTGAGCGAGTCAAAACAAACTGTCACAGTTGAAACTAAACATTGGAAGAAAACCTTCAGAGTGAGGTTATCTTATCAGCTTTTGTTAAAAAAAACACTGTGGGAGTAGATTTTATGTCTCAGTTTGAAATTCTTCAGATATGATGAACAAACTATTGATAATAGCACCTTTAAAAAAGTGAAGATGCCGGTGTCTATCAAGTATTTCCGATCTGCAGGGATTATCTTATCTGTAATTTTGTTTAATGATTGTCGAGGATAGTCAAAGTCTCCCAGACACATTATGTGATTATTGTGAACAAAGTGATCGTTTTGAATGCCATTGTGACATTATTGTTTATCCGCCCTTTGTTTATGGTTCACTGGGAACAGAAAAAAAACCCAGAAAAAGACACAATTGACAAGCACAGAGGAGTGCTGATTCGGTTCTTTTTTCATTTTAATCACAGTACTTCTTCCAGAATAAAACCTATCATCTTATAACAGTTAGATGTCACAGGAACGTGGCTGACTGGTTGACATCTGTAGACATATTTAGTTTATCAGTCACTTGGAATATTGCTCGCAAAAGGATTACAGTACTCCAAAATTTAAACAGAACAATAAAGTTCAGTGTCCATTCCTCCTCTTCAGTTCTTACCAAACATTAACAGTATGTGACACAACGCATTAACGGTAACTGTTATTTAGCTGGAGCTGATTCTCTTATCAAGAGTGACTTGAACTAAATTAACCATAAAATCTATAATTTATTATATCATTTACTCTGCTGACACAAGGGATGAAAAAAAGCGTACTCCTATTTTTCTCTTCTTTCTGACTGTAGGCACATTTTTCCACTGACACTGACGTGTTTGGGTTTGAAATGACGTATCACTGAGGACATGATCAAAGATAAAGTTGCGAAGTAATGTTGCAGAAAAAAAACTCAATGTAACAGCAGGAGTAGTGACCAAACCCAAAAGGTTTAACCTGCCCCCCTCCTGAAATTCCAACCATAACCACTAAGTACTGAGTAACCTGCAGTTATATATACTGCTACTGGATGTGTCAATATGTCACTTCACTTCATGAGGACAGGAGACGTCTTCTTAACAAAAAGCCGACTGTTTGTGATCTGAACCCAACTGAAGACACACCACAGAATCACTTTTTACAATCACTGAAATTATGGGAGGCTTCTGCACCTCGTGGCCTTGATGGATTATTAACTTAAGTCAACTAATCTTTATAGTCTGCCCAAAGTGTCACAGTGGACCAGTCTTCTGAGAACTGCAGAGGAATAGTTGAACAATCTCCTCCTTTTGTAATCAAAGAGGCTTCACCGATGAGCAAAGTGACAGAGCAAGAAACAACAGAGGACTAAAACCTGGAAGATCCATTTGTTCTTTGCTCAAGGTTTGAGGGGAGTTTTTTTTTTAAATTATTGCAGCTGATTTAAATATGTCTGAAATGAACTGAAAAGCATTTCTCTTTCAGCTTCAGTGTATATTTTTGTTCTTGGTATAAATACAGCTGGACTTTCAGGACAATTTCAGGATAACTCAGAGGGAAGGACATTAAACATTACCAAGATTGCATGATATAGAAATCCTGCTGAATCTAGGCATTCTTAAGTGAGAAGTGCTACGAGAAGCTCCTTTACTCCTTCAGCTGAAACAACCATGGTCGGTACAGGTGGTCCAGTGCCCACTTTCTCCCCGTGGGATTATGTGGTGTTTGCGGGAATAATTGTGGTGTCAGCAGGCATCGGCCTTTTCCAGTCTTTCAGAGGACGTAAGGAGGCCAGCAGTGCAGAGTTCTTGTTGGGTGGACGGCAGATGACAGCCGTACCTGTTGCCATGTCGCTCACGGCCAGCTTCATGTCTGGCATCTCAGTCATTGGCACACCTGCTGAGGCCTACCGGTTTGGAACTGCCTTCTGGCTCTTCGGGTTCTCCTATTTCATCATGTCTGCCATTACTGCTGAGATTTTTGTGCCACTTTTCTACCGACTGGCGATCACCAGCGCCTACGAGGTAAGGAGAGGCCACAGATAATTGTATACCTACATAACACTCATACAAGGTGCAGCATGAAATAAAGTGGTACGATCAATAAATATATTTACAGCTTTCCCACAGAAGGAAAAGACTTTAGATAATGATTAATTCACTAAACATGTCAACATGTTTTGCCTGTCAAAGGTTGTACAGTATGCAACTGCAATAAAAGTATTTCCTTCGAAGGGCGTGTGAGAGTTAATTAGAGCAAACACACCAAATTATCTGTGTCATGATGTCTGACTGTCCTAGTTTCCTTTTTATTTCTAGTACCTGGAGTTGCGCTTCAACCGTCTCATTAGGGTTATCGGGACATCAATGTACATCGTACAGACGGTAAGAAAACGTACTTCAAAACAAAACAAAGTACAAAATGGTGAAAAGAAGAACAAATGCCCATGATTAAAATGCTAAGTGGAACATGAAAAACAGCACCTGGCCTTGTTTTTTTTTTACTTATGTAAAACTGATTCTTGACAACAGTTCCAGGAACCATTAACATTAATCACAGACTATAATGTGTAATCAGCTAATGGTGATTTTCATTTTCAGGGTCTGTACACCGGTTTAGTCATCTACGCTCCTGCTCTTGCACTTAATCAAAGTAAGCCAAAGGACACAGAAGCTCACAAAACAAGGGGAGACAAGGAATTTTTGTTTGTTTAACTGAACTGTAACCTGACCATACCCTATTCTGTCTAATCCAGTGATATTGTCCTGAGTGTATATAGGACTTATTCTCTCTTGTGTATCTTACACCTTTTTAAAGAAGCCTATCAACTGTTTTCCTGTTTAAATAAAGGCAGAAGCATCCATCTAGTATCCAGTTACAAAAGATGCGTGTTCAATCATACCTGAGCTATTTTCTTACTCCTCAGTCACTGGACTCAACCTGTGGGGAGTGTTGGTGGCTACAGGAGTAGTGTGCATCATCTACTGCACTTTGGTTGGTACTTTCTCACTTCAAAAAGTATTATGTGTTTGATTTTTTTAATCAAGCACTGTATACAAAGAGACTGGGCAAAGTCTTGTGTACTTCCAACTACATCACAGTTTTCATGACTAGTTTTATACATTGCTAATATCATCCATATATTTCAGTTTGTAGGTAATAAAACTAGCTGAGGTGCTTGGTTAAAATAAAGTTATCCTCTGCATGTTAATGTAAAAATGTAGCTGTTTTAGCATTAGTTTAACCCTCACTGAGCACTAAACTGACTTTACTTGCAAAGTTAAGAGTGTGATTTTGTTTCAGGGTGGCCTGAAAGCAGTAATCTGGACAGATGTGCTGCAGATGGTGATCATGCTGACAGGTTTTGTAGCTGTTATAGCAAGAGGATCTGTCCTGCAAGGGGGCATAACAAAGATTTTTGAAGATGCTGACCAAGGCGGCCGTCTACACACATTTGAGTAAGTACACAAGCAGACTTGTGTCAAAAGTTAAATCAGCTTTCCTACGATTCTGCACACTGTTTAACTGTATGTCATTGATAGAAAGCCTACTGATTCCCTTTAAAAATATCATCCTACATTATCAAGTTTGTACTACTGATGTTCAGAAACACAACCTACTGCATTATTTCACACCTTGTTGCCCTTCCTTACCACAGCTTTGACCCAGATCCTCTGAAGCGACATACTTTTTGGACTATTGTAGTCGGCGGTAGCATTATGTGGCTGTCTATCTACTCGATCAACCAGTCCCAGGTGCAGCGCTACATCTCCTGCAAAACCTTGGGACACGCCAAGATGTGAGCATTCCTGCACTGCAATGAAACACATACTTCTGGCTGCGAGCAAAGTTGCGTGTGCTGACAAGTCTCCTGTCATTTCTCAGGGCTTTGTATGTGAACATGGTTGGCCTGTGGTTAACTGTGAGTCTGGCTATGCTTTCTGGCCTCGCCATGTACTCCATTTACAAGAACTGTGACCCATTTTCAAATGGTGATGTAGGCACTTATGACCAGGTAACTACAGCTGCAGTTTTGTCTTTACATATCTTTGCACAGACACCATGCATTTTTGTGACGTAAGAAAGCGCTGTGACTAACAGTAAAAATGGCTTACATTTGTCAAATAGCTGCTGCCCTACATGGTGATGGACATACTGGCAGTCTACCCTGGAATCCCTGGCCTGTTTGTAGCTGCGGCATACAGTGGCACTCTGAGGTGAGACATCAGGCAAACAAGAAAAAAGAGAAGCACATTATTTGAGCGTTTCAGAATCCTGAAGTGATAAGGAAATGTTCTAGCAGATAAGGTGCAACCAATCGACTGTACTGTTCTGTTGTGTCTAAAAGCACGTTGCATGTTTTTCAGCACAGTGTCTTCCAGCATTAACGCCCTTGTGGCCGTCACGGTGGAAGACTTTATTAATCCCGTGTGCAAAAACCTCACAGCGAAACAAGTGAACTGGATGAACATGGGATTGAGTAAGTAGTAAAAAAGAAATCCCAAAAATGAGTAGGAGTTAGAAACTTTAAGGCAAAAAGTGACTAAATACTACAAAGCAAAAACTGTTCTGAAGAATTTCTCTTCAATCTTTTCTTTGAAATCTTTCCTATCTCTTTAATAGTTGTCATTTCTGGAAATCTAAGCAAAAGCCCTCGAGCGTTTCCTGGTCTAGCATGAGTTTGTGGTACACTCTTTTTATGAAAACCACAGTAATCACTATAAAGTGTAACTTCTAAAAAACTCCAGACCCCCCTGGCACTGCAAAGACACTGGCAGACAACAAGATAATCATTATCTTATCTTGTTATTCATAATAAGTATTTAAAGTGTTACAAGTTCCACAGGGTTACTGCAAACGTGCTGAAAATAAATGTCAGCATAACTGTGAACAAAGGAAATCATTAATTATGAAGCAAAATTCTGTAATTAAAGCGTATTTTATATTTGTTTCCACAACCACACTTCATAGGAAACAGATTAATGTTATGATAATCTAAACCAGTCATCAGGCAGAATTATTGAGGAAAAAACCCCAGAGTATATTGGTTCTATACACATATTTTATGAGGGTAAGATGAAGATAAAGTGTCTGCTATCTCATTTTCTGTGAGATGAATTGTGCAGCAACAACAGTTCACGTTTTTCTTAATGTAACACAGACAGTCTTTAGTATGGAACTGTGTGATGTTTGTACATGGGTTCTTGTTCACACTACTTTTAAGAGTTAACTGACGTTTACGGTAACTCAAGAAAGGAAAACAAAGTTTTTGCTGGGAAAATTTAAGAATTTTTAATTTATCCTCAAAGAAACAAAATTCAATGCTTTTTAAGTATCTTCAAGCATTATAGATTTTTTTACAATACACTGATCCCAAAAAACTCTTGTCTAATGTGTATGACCCACATTGACTTAAAAATGTCGCTAATCTGCCTTCAAATTTGCACCAAAGAACTTCTGGATCTGCAGTTTTAAAGTTGCAAGCAGATTCTTTTAACAATGACTTTTATCCCAACTCTCAGGTGTATTCTTTGGTGCTCTGTGTATTGGGATGGCTGGAGTTGCCTCAGCGATGGGAAGCGTTCTGCAGGTAAACTTCTCCAACACCACTGCAGTCATTTGTTGCTCTACAGCACCGCCATGAGCTGAATACAAGGAACTACAAGCCTCCTGACAAGTCCTCTATTTTCAGGCAGCTCTGTCCATATTTGGCATGATTAGCGGGCCTCTCCTGGGTCTCTATACGTTAGGAATTCTTTTCCGAACATCAAATTCGACAGTGAGTATTTCCTATTTTTGGAACATTCAGTAGCACGACCCCACCCTCTAACAACACAAAGATATCTCATTGTAAAAACACAAACGTGACACAACGAGGAAGTAGTTGATTGCAGACATGTTTACTTTGCAGGGAGCACTTACAGGACTGATCACTGGTCTGGTGTTGACTCTGTGGGTGGGGATCGGAAACCAGCTTTACCCACCAACAGCTGACAAGACACTTCCTCTCCCCCTCACCACTGTAGGCTGCAACAACACAATGGGCCAAAGCAGCACAACAGCAACTCCCTGGACCAGTCCAGTGACTCTGACTCCAGAGCCTGAGTAAGTCAGTTTACATTAAACAAAGGCCCATCTGCTGTTACTCAAGCACGTGATATGGTCACATTTTGACAATCAAATGAATGCATGAAAGTATACGAATGATTCAAGACCAATTTTTCATTCTAGATTTGCAGCTCTGCAAACAGATTGACTGTTGAGCTCATTGTTTGAAAAAACAAACACTTTTAAAATGCATTTTAGACATCAAGTCATGGATGGCAGCGAACTTCCTACAGCTCAACCAGGACAAAACAGAAGTTTTAGTTATAGGTCCGGAAGGCCAGAGAGAGAAACTTTTATTAAAATTACAAGATTTTAAACCAGTACAATCTGTAAGAAACCTGGGCGTGATTTTTGACTGAGCTGAATTTTATCCCACATATTAAAAATATCGTAAAGATAGGTTTTTATCACCTTAAGAACATAGCCAGAGTCCGCCCGTTTCTCTCTCAGGCCAGCACGGAGGTGCTAATGCATGCTTTTATTTCCTGTTGCTTAGATTACTGTAATGCCCTGCTCTCTGGTCTTCCCAAAAAGAGTATTTTAAATCTACAATTATTACAAAACTCAGCCACTCGCGTGCTGATGAGGACCAGAGGGCGGGATCACATTACACCTGTTTTAA